GCTATTGTGCCGCAATACATGAAGGAAATACATACACACATAAATGCATATACTACAATACACAAAGGAAAAATAGATACAACAGTTGCATGCCAGCTGAGCTACCAGCAACGGATAGGCATCGTTCCGGTAAGCTACCAGCCAGCTACTAGGCAAAAAGTAAAAAAATTATTGTTTTAGCCTACGAAATGAGATCGTAGATGGAGGGGGAAGCTAAAAGGGCTGGGGAGGGACAAAGAAACTCACAGCAGGAACGCCACTGAGGTCGACTCCTTGCCATGTCAGTGTATCCAGCACTGACTATAGCTTGTTTCTTGATTGCGTTGTCTTTTCATATTCTTACTATTCTTATTACAGCTGTGTGAGACGAAGTTTTTATCATGTTTGAACAACAAGCAGCGCAGCAGCAGCAACATTGTTAACAATGTGATCTTTTCTTTCTCTGCCGTCCAACTAGAGTAACCTTGAGAGTGGTGTAATAAGAAAGGTAGAAAGAAGTGAAAAGTCTACGTGCCCTTAGCAAACTTTTGGAACCAAGGCGCCTGCATCTGCTCAAAAGCATCTTGTCATCATCATAATATATGTTAGCTACAGATGAGAAGTGTCCTAGGTTTTGCACCGTAAAGTACGGTCCAAACGGCTGGGAACTTTCACTGCCCCTCGTCAACCATTACCTCGCAGCTAACAGCATCAGACATCTTGTTTCCGATGACTTTACGAATAACCTGTGGGTATTGCACTTCCCAGATCAGAAGACAAGGGCTTTTGGCGAAACCTTTAATGAGCTCCCGACAAACAGTAGGTATAGCTGAGGTGTTTTCCACCTTTAGCTAACGTGTATTATGATGATAGCCAAACATCAAGTTAAAATATTCATGAGATAATGACCTGACTGAAAATCCCTTGAGTCTCGCAAATACTAGGTGTCTGAAATTGCACCTGTTGGTTGCTCAACGAGCGTGCTCTTTTTGATAGATTTCAAGGTAGGTTCTTCTCATTGTTAGACTTCAAGGTGGACCGCTCATTGGCTAACCGATTAGCTTCAGGCTGCGTTGGATCAAACTTTGGGCTGCTAGCGTAACGACTGGCTCCGAAGGCTGCTATGGGCGGACTCCCTTAACTAGGCTTAATTCTAGCAGACAGCCCGATTAGAAAATGGAAAACACGTCACTGATCACGACTGCAAGCCAAACACAAGGTGAGTTGTGTAGACTTATATCTGCAAAGCGAGGCGGACCAACAACACTCAGTTTAATCGTCAGTGACGTTGCCAAGTCAACTTTCGCCATCCTCGAGCGTTGCACCATCTAATACTCAGTAAGCAAACGAAAAATCTCTTCTTTGAGTGGTGACGAACGCACGTTACAATTACGTGAACCAAAGTAACTTATACAACATTGCTTGTTTTTGTAAGGAACTAAATTCGCCATCTCCGCATAGTACTCTCCTGCGTACATCATTGTTTCCGATTCGCTGGTGCCATTGGACATCAGCAACGTTTCTCTGGTAGCTGTAGCCAAAAACTAGAAGGCGCTTCACATCCTCCAACCGAAGAAGCCAAGCCACAACCCAATAGAGGACTGTGATCACTGTATGCTTGTGTACACGACCTTACAGACGGAAGAAAACCTCTTCCGATGCTACAGATACTGCAGGTTTATAAACGTTATCATGGCTTTTGAAATACGTGAACTAGTCCCACTTATTTTTACAGTTGCCTTCATAGCCCAAGGTCAGGGCTTACAGCAAATTGCCATACTTGGAAAATGTCTCTGAAGACTACGGAGACAATAGTCCGAATAGAGTTCTATGGACTGGGCAGAACGGCGCACTAAGTCGGTCAGTGTGTTTATGTGTTGTTTGGGAACTGTAGGAAAGCGGCTTCGATCATATACGTGCTGAGTATCTCGCAACTAATGAAAACAAACATATCGGAAATATCGAACAGTGAAAGATTTGCAGTCGCAAAGATAGATCCGCGATGTTCAAGATCACGGCATTGGGAGTAATACTCGTCATTTGCAGAAGGTCATCATCATCATCATCATTATACACGTCAGATAGAGGTGGGAAAACACCTCCGCTATTGTGCCGCAATACATGAAGGAAATACATACATACATAAATGCATATAATACAATACACAAAGGAAAAACAGATACAACAGTTACATGCCAGCTGAGCTACCAGCAACGGATAGGCATCGTTCCGGTAAGCTACCAGCCAGCTACTAGGCAAAAAGAAAAAGATTATTGTTTTACCCTACGAAATGAGATCGTAGATGGAGGGGGAGGCTAAAAGGCATGGGGAGCGACAAAGCAACTCACAGCACAAACGCCACTGAGGTCGGCTCCTCGCCATGTCAGCAAGTGTGTCCAGCCAAACGTGTTCACCGTCTTTTGGACCCCAACCAGGGAGCCGTGACGCTCCAACCGAGGCTGGCTCCGAAGTGAGGGACTTCATTCCTCTCGACCAAGTCATCGCATGGCCACCTTTCCTCTTCTTCCACCCACATCCCCGGTGAGCAAACAACGCACGTCAAAGGAGTCGGTGGGCTGGCATGCGTAACACGTGGCCGAGCCATCGGAGCCTGGTGCGGGAAATAACGGTGCTGAGCGATTCAGTTCCTTTTCTTGTGCCGCAAACAATGCGTCGAACACGCTCGTTACTCGCGCGGTGTTCCCACCAGATGTGAGCCAAACGGCGAAGGCACCTGTGGTCGAACGTAACTAGCCTCTTCATGTCCGCCGATCTTAGGAGCCAGGTTTCGCAACCGTACAGTAATGTCAAACGTACCGCTGCATTGTACACTCTACCCTTCAAGGCGAGAGTGATGTCGCGCCGCCGCCATAGATGGCGAAGGTTAGCAAAAGCACTTCGAGCTTTTGATATGTGGTTCGTGATCTCGTCTTCGATCCCAAGGGCGCTGATACAACTTCCCAGGTAATTGAATTTCTGAACGACTTCTAGCTGATCCCCACCAGGGATCAGCACAGGAGGCGATCCCTGCCAATGTTGGAGGAACGCTTTGCACTTCGATGGTGCAAAGCAAAGCCCGAAGCGGCTGGCACCCAGTGCTAATCTGTCCAGCGCGGCTTGGCACGTCTGGGAGCTTCCACAGATGAGGGCAATATCGTCAGCATACTCCAAGTCAAGAAGTCGTTCTCCTGGGAGCAGATCCACACCTTCCAAGTCATGTCCTGTAAATGCAAATTCCATGGCTTCGTCAATAGCGAATTTGAAGAAGAAAGGTGACAGCATCAACAGGAGCAGAGCCTCCGAATTTGAAGAGGGCTGGAGGAAGATCATCTGGTCCCGCGGCTTTGTTCAACTTCAACAGTCCGATCTCACGTTCGACTTCTGAGCAAGAGGGTGGATCCAAAGGGACAGCCCACGGAGCAGGGCGATCACTGGTCGGCGAGGAAGCGAACAATTCTAGCCGATTAAATTGCTTTCCAAAATGCTCAGCCCAACGCTCCAAACGTTTTGACAAATTGTGGATAGGCCGTCCACTCTCATCACAAATTATTTCACTAACACCAGGTCTCCTGCTGCCCCTTTCCCGTATCAGACGGAATAACTTACGATGGTTGCCAAGGGCAGCGGCCACTTCCATCTCTGACGCACGATGAGACCACCAAGATTCGCGGTCTCTCTTCAGGCTAGCGCGGAGTTTTGCCCGGAGCTCTTTGCGAGTTTCATTGTGCTCGCTTCCAGCCGGGATATGCCGGCGAGCGTCGATAAGATCCAGAGACCAAGAAGAGACCCAATGTTCATGTTGGCGATTAGACAAACCACATGAGGATTTACCCACTGCTAGTAAGGTCTGGCGAACATGTGACCAGTGACTATCAATTGTCTCCAGTGAGCGAGTACTCAACTCGCATGTCAGCGTACTTCGATACGCATTCAGAACAGCTAGCTTTGTCAGTTGGCTAGTGTCAATGCACTCACATCGTCGTCGTGGGTGTCCGCCAAAACGCATCCGCATGTCAGCATATACAAGTGCATGGTCGGTGTCCACACATGTGCTCCAAATCGAGCGACAATTCTGGATGCAGCCTCTCCAGCGGTAACTAATAGCAATGTGATCGATCTGCGCCCAAGGCTGGTGGGCGCCACGTCACCCTCCAGCGCGTGCTGTGTCGGAAACTAGTGCTCGCAAGAAATAAGCGAGCATCTTCACACAAATGAAGTAACCGCTCACCGTTATCATTACGGGAGCATACACCGTGCTGACCGCCCAGGTGCATTTCATCAGTGGACAACTTTCCAAGTTGTGCGTCACACCACAGACACAGTAATCAGTCTGCTGAGCGTCATCATTCTTGTGCGACGAAACAGGCGAGGTGAATACCGATGTGGCAAAGTTAGCCGATTAATGTTATGTTGGACCAGTCAGACAAATGAATTGGGTGCCTGAGCCACCAGGCATGGTAAATGCAAGAAAGTGCGGACGCGAAATTTTGATCAATTTACAAACTGTACCAACGCCGAACCAATCTTACTGTGATGAAAAAGAGAAAATGTAAGGGGAAAAAAGGGTCGAGCGGTGTGGTAACAAAAAGGATACGGAAAGATGCGAACCACACTGGTCCCTCAATTACAGGAGAAAAGATGAGTGGACATCAAAAACCTAGGGAACATCCAGCGTGTAGAGTCCGGCATAAAGAGTCGACATAACCAAACCATTTGAAATGAGTGAATATCCTTCGTGTGAAGAAAAAAAAGAAGGCACTGGCTAGGTAACACTAGTAACACTCGTGTCGGGATTCCGATATCTGCAGTACCATGGCGTCAGCACGTCTGGCACGCCCAAACGCGAAATGAAAGTGGAGTGTACGAGAGGGGCGGGAACGCTAAAACGGTCAATTAGACAGGCGCATACGTCCCCGACGGTTCATAGGTGAGGTGGTGCAGAAACAAGACGGTTTTAATTTAAAGAAACAACTGTATGTACATGGCATGTGATCACATGAAAAAGTGCAATGAAGTAGACATTAACTGTTCCGGTTTGCATGAACAGGAAGATAGAGTTTAAACTCCGCGGGCAGCTCGTCGTCGGAATAGATTCGGTCACAAAAGTAAATCCGTCTGATGCGGCAGTTAGCGTGGATCTGAAAAAGGGAAGATAAGAAGTGCAGAGAAGTTACAAAGCCGATTCATGCAGATTTATGTACTTGTGCACTTCAATCATGAAGAAAGGCTACAGTACCAAAAATTATGATGACAGCACTCCGGCCATGAATGGACTTGACACCAGAAAAGACAATTAAGATGAAACTCAATGCAACGGTCCCTCATGTGAGGATGAGCAACCTCGTTCAGATATGCACCTCTTGTGGCTCATCCGGTACATGTGGATTATTCAGTTAAGCCTACACGACACTCCCAGTGCGTTGGTTTATATAGTTGAGCCACATCCGAAGAAAATGAAGCAATTACTGGTGAGTAGGGATATATGTGATGAAATCCTGTTGAATCCACTAAAGTAGCTTACAAGCAAGATAGACTCGTGGGGGCCAGTCGTTGTCATTTGCAAGGGTAGAGACCCGCATGACATTGGAAGATGTGCCACGCAATATAGCAGTTAACATTCAATTCATGATGCACTGATACCGACCCCATGATATAAGATGCTGGCTAGTGGCGAAAGCAGCTAATGGTCATGGGTTCTGTTCTTGATAGAGCTGTGGGATCCACACCACTGATAAATTCCAAAAAAAACGAAATGGCCAACTGATGCTTCTCCGGATTGGTAGTAAGGTTGTCTAGCTTGTAGGCTGCCGTGGTGAATACAATAAAATGACACAACTATTGTGTACCCAAATTAACGGTTTTCTCAATGATGCCTAAGTGTAACCTAACGTTGACAACCAAGCAGCGGACGTTAACGGACGATCCATTGTGCTACAGGCGAAAAATTAGTGCCCAGCATATTTGCGCCCAATCAGCTCTCTGGTTTTTGGTTATGATTCAATCTGCTCATTTCGACTGGGAAATAAGAGGCAAACCAAAGAAAAAAAACTTGGGGCAGCGGTAGTCCGTTATAGTATTTCAAAGTAAATATAACGACGCGATCTGTTTTTCAGCGTTGGCATCCAACAGCTTTCCGCGTCTGTCTGTGAATAAACAGTTCCGTTAAGTAAGGCATTTATGATCCGACAACCGAAGTGCGGTGGATCCGTGGACATGACGCGTCACCAAAATAACAATAGTAACGAAAAACAAGATAGAACAAAAACAGGAAGCCGAGTCATAAAAAGGCGGATAGAATCAGTCGGAAAATAATGTCCATATCGAATCCAGAAGCGCCCCAGACCGTTTACATAATCTTTTCAGCAGCATAATGAATAGACATAGTCACTAACTGTGAATCTGTGTCATATCCGATAGGGTCCCCAACCAGTGAGGTAGACCATCTCGAGGACCCAACCATTAAAGCGCACACGCCAGTTTGACAAAGTAAGGCGGCAAATTTCTTCATATTTATATGATGCTTCATCGACTGGTAATATCGCGGTGTCACGCAAATGTGTAGCGACAGCATATATGCATGCCGGAAAGGCAGTTAAATGAGATACGAAGCGCATGACGTAAGCTTCTAAGCTACAACAGGCGCTACAGCGGAGCATCATGGGATTACTTATCCAACACTAACTGGCGTACCCCAGCATTGCTCAGCGGATGTTCCCACCACGGCTGAGCAGAGACGGCTAATGACTTAATGTCTCTATTGCGAAGTGCCCAGGTATATGATCATTAGAGTGACACTAACTTTATCGCAGCGTGATGCATTCTACCTCGGACTCATAGGCTGATATCTTGCCGTCTCCACAGAGAGGAGCTTTTAAAAATACACGCGGTTTTTGCTGGAACATGAAGTGAACTCTTCCGTAGTGAGACCAACTACCTATTCCAGTATTCGTTCACTGATAGACAGAACCGGTGGTGTGTATGCCCAGTTCTGTAATGTTTCCAGCTATAAAGGAGAAAAACAGACCAAAAAGTGAAATGTTGTACGTCAGCATAATCAGTAGCGCTTGCAAAGTTGTTGGGTCTAACTCCAGGAGAGCTACAACGTCCGCATACTCAAAGGTTATCAGTTGTTTACCAGACGGAACTCCCACTGGAAGAGGTTGAAAGTGGCGGTAAGTTGTGATTATTTCCAACATGCTTATCGTGGTGAAAACAGAAGATAGCAATCCTTGGGAGTTACCGTAGAGATTTTACAATGGAAGAAAGTAAACGTTCGCTTTTCCTTGCTTTGCTGTCGAATCGTAGCTAGTCTGGTGTATCGGTGTCACCACTGCGGTACAAACAGAACTGCGGAGATTGACCATCACGCGTCCGACTTAGTGGTGACCATCATCTCCGTCCCTATAAACTGGTGAAACCGTTATTATCTTTGCTGATAACGCCATCGCACTTTGCAGGTTTGAAAACTGCGACACTTCATCCTTCCCGCATTCTACTTCTCCTTCTGAACCCGAAGCGCTGGAGTCGGAGTTGGTCCCACAACAATAACAGTTGCTCATTTTCGAGAAGGTAGTCCTATAGCAGACCGCATGGACAGAATCTATACTGTTCCCCTACGGCATCGGTTATATGAAATAATGAAGTGCGATTTCGTGACAATTTTGACGATACACTGGAACTCCCCAACAAACACAAATCGTTTGAAAGTATCCAGACAGCAATTTTGTAACAACTCGGCATGTATGATAGAGAATGCATGCTAAAAATCCCTGACGACAAAGAGCTCGGCAATTTAAAGTCATAACAGCTCCCTCGAAAAATACAAAGTCTTCACTAGTCACTAGATGACCAGTTCATCATGAAAATGTGGGTGTATCAGCAGCTCAAGGATATCGTCAATATCTTGTGTTCCACTCCATATGCCAAGACAGAACAAGCGTCTGAGACTGCTGATATGATTTGGGACAACTACGTCCGCGTTTTGCGAGGATCATGTTGCTTTATACGACTAAGTTAAGAAGCTGCAGTGCACTTGGATTCCGACGATTAACGCACCGTATCTCAGCCCGAATCTCGTTGCTCAAAGCCGAAAAAACGAAAGAACATCAGATTCCAAGCAAGCACGAATGAAAACTGTTGATATTAGCGTAGACAATACGGGTTGAGAACCCGATCGTTCCTCCACTAACAAGAAACAGATGAGCAAACAAGCTAGCCCCGCAACAATTGCTGCTGCTGGTCAAAGTAATCGCCTCCTTTTTCATCACTGACCCTAGGACTGAAGTTCGCCATCTCATCGATACTGGCGCAGAAGTAGGCGTCCTGTTACCCGACCCGATTGATGGACCAAATAAACTGACTACAAATATGCGTGGTGCCAACGGAACGAAAAGTCCCACTTACGATCAACGCTCTCGCACGCTAAACTTCAGCCTGAGGAAATCATTCAAATGAGTCTTGTTTATCGCTCACCTCCGAAACCCTATGGTAGGGAAGATTATTTTCAACAGTTCGATTTGCTCGCCAACGCTGGACGCCAAAGGCTTATCGGTCTGACTACGAAACCACCTGTGGCTAAAGGACCCAATAACGTTGCAATGATCGTCTCGGTGTGTATTAGCGCTAACTTACAGGTCAGCAAGTCACTAGTTGAAAGTTTCCGACCCGTGTCACCTCATAAAAAGGCAACCGGCGCAACGACGCCTCATATACAGACAAAACGCTCGTTTGCAAATGTCCGAAAGATGGTTTCCGACAAACCCAAATTTATCGCGCAGAAATTGAGAACATGCTGGAGCTCGCGATCGTCCGGCCATCAAATATCACTTGGCATTCGCTCCTTTACATGGTGTCAGAAGTCCGGGGACTGACGCTCATAAAGGGATTATCGCACAATCAACAACATTACGGTGCTTGACCAATCCTGAAGCGGCAGTTTACACTTTGACGAAGCAAAGCACATTCCGTACCTAGATGCCTCAATCGTCAAACGGTCTAGAATGGTTGGCATGCTCTGTGAGTCCTCATCAAGGCGATATCATCGGCATAACATAAGTCGGTTGCTCGTTTGCTTGGTAATAGCTGTATAACAAAATCTTGACAACCGTCTAGAGCTCTCGACAGGATGTCTTTAATTGAAGAGGAACGGGGACATAAACCAGCCCTGTCGTACACCGCTATTGACAGGGAAGGAAGACGGAAGCCTGCCACTCACCCTCACTCTGCCAGAGATGTGGAAATACAGCGCGCGTAGGATGGCAGTGTACTTTACTGGGACACCGTTCCTTAGCAAACAACACCACAGTGCTGGTCAATCAACCGAGTCGAATGCAACGATGGCAGGCCTTTGGTAAGGGTGGCAATGTTCTAGGATTTGACGGAGTGTGAATATCTGATCCACACACCAACCGTCAAGTCGGAAGCCAGCTTGTGCTTCTCAGTACTGCGATCCTCGAATGGGAGATAGTCTACGGAGTATAATGGGTGCCAATAGCTTGGAGGCAACCGAAATGAGACTAATCCCCCGTGAATGGTACTCGAAGTGCCAGCACCCTTCTTATAAACCGGGACAATAACTAACTCGCCCCAGGAAAAAGACACCGTTTCTTCACGCCGGACTTTGGAGAACAATGAGGTTAACTGGCCATTAGCCTCCATATATGAACAGCTCCGGAGGAAGTCCGTCTGAGCCGGCAGTTTTGAGACGTCTTAGCTGTCACGTCGCAAGACAAGCTTCCGCTTCGCTGGGTGGATCAAGGGTGACGATCCAGGGCGGGTAGCTCAGTTCGCAGGAGATATAAGTGGGCGGTGAGGGCCAATCGAACTTGGAATGAAAATGCTTCATCCATCGGTCCAAACGTCTCAGTAAGTTGGCAATCAGCGAACCATCCGCTTAGCATAGTCTCACTGACATCAGGCTTTCCCTGGTCAGTGGATCGAATGAGCTCGAAGAGGTTGCGAGTATTGCCAGAGAGAGCAGCGGCCTCCATCTCCGAAGCATGCTGGAACCACCAGGCTTCACGGTCACTGCGTATGCTTTGTTTGAGCTGCCGACTGACAAAACGGCGCAATTCATCATGATTAGACTCCGCTGCGATGTTCCTGCGGAGGTCAAATAAATCCATAGAGCGCGTGGAGA